ATTGTAGAATATCCTACTAATCTAGTATTATAAAACTAATCGAGGTCTCAAATAGTTGCTAGTAGCTGCGCAACTTCGTTTTAAGTGCTCCAAATGTGATATGAGTGGGTAGTGTGGTGGTGTCGAAGGTTAAGAAGGTTGTTTGGGTGTTTGAGTTGTACATGGTGGGTTGCTTGTTATTGATTGTGCGGTATTGGGTGATTTTGGGTTGTGTTGGGATAGTGTTTGCAATGTCTATATGTAGTTTTCTATATCTGTTTGTGATTCCCTGGCGTCAATGTGGATAACCCCCCTGAATGGATGATTGCCATCGTGGCAGCTGCCAGCTTATTTGTTTGCCATCGATGAGTGAGTGTTTGGTGGTGTTTGTGAGGGATTGTTTATCTGGAAAAGTAATTTTGAACCCCCGGCCACAATTGTTAATGTATTTGTATTGAATATGTTGTTGTTGGAGGCATAGAGCGAATTTGTTGATGGAGTAAGTGTGGTTGAGGGGTGTGTGCGAGTTGATGGCGAAAGCTAAGAGAATGTGTTTGGTAGGTTGGGGTTGGGGGGCTGTTTCTTGGGCGCATTGTTTTTTATTAGATTGGGTGTTTTCGTTTGGTGAGACATGAGGTCTTTTGGCTGTTTTGGAGGGTTTAGTTTGAGTGATTGGAGATTGAGGGGGTTGGGGGGGTTAGGAGGGATTGGTTGTGGTTTGGAGGTCAGGTAGGATAGTTTCTAGGTTGATTCCGAAATTTATTGGTATTGGGTAAACTGAGTGGGGGGATGTAAGTGGCGGAAGTCTTTGGTAGTGGTTGAGAAAAGGGATGAGTTGGGGTAGGGGAGTTCATGATGCGTGGGGACGGGGGCGGGGAGGGATGGGCGTAGAGTTGGTTTGTGGGCTGGGGTGGGTGGTTTGGGTATGTAAACAATATATAAGTACGATAGAAACAAATTGCAAATGAACATATATACAAGTGAAAGGTGAACAAAATGAACTGGGGAAAATTGTCTTTTGATTATTTGAATGTCTATATACAGCTAGTCTATTTACACAAGCCACAATGGGAAAATGGCGCACACTTGCGATTTGATTGTCCCAGCTTGGGTGGCCGCGGCCAGCGGCCGGTGGGGTAGGGAATCCCGGTCGCTGTGCTGATAAGGGTGTCTGGAGTTGAGAGGAGGAGGGTAGATTTGTTGTAGGCTTGATAGTGATGCTCGTATCTGACTGCTGGGTATATATAGCCCGGGCGATTGAAAAGTGTTTGTATTAAGCTCTGCATTGAGGTCACAGAGTCAATCATTCATGGATGAAGGCCGGTTGGTAGCTTAAACCTGACACGACTCACTCATCTCATTCACTTATGCGATTAAACAACCGATCAACGATTGGCGCTTTCAGTCGTAATTCCCGCCACTTGGTTGGCTTCCATGTCACACTCAGAACCTCTCGGCTTAGGCATTACAATCAAAACATCAGAGAAAAGCTTGTGTGCCCCACCCAAACAAGTGCCTCTGCAAACATGACACCAATCAAGGCTCATTTGAAGACAATGTTGTGAGTAAGAACTCACCATGAATTTACCACACCATCCAGTGATCACCATCATGACCATCAATCTTCACAATTAGGATACGAGGATATATGTCCACCAAGTCAGCGAGCCTGGCTAACGGATGGGGTGGTCAGGCTCGCTGACCTCGTTGACACGTCATCGTATCCCAACCACGTTATCGATGCTCACGATGTTGATAACTGGATTGTCTGGTCAGTATTCGATTATTGACAGACCGCTGCCATATAGCTGGAATATTGCTGAGTGCGGCGTTAAACAAACACACACAAAAACGAAGTTTGTGATATTAGATCATGTCCATTTTTCATTTTTCATTTTTTAGGAATATCTGCATTAAGAACACATTTCTAATAATTTAGACGGACGTGAATGCCATTCCAAATAGTTTCCGTGTCACATGATATCATATTGAGTATTTTTATTTTGTCTACTTTTTTTTTCACGATCACAAATATGAAACGAAATGCTTATTAACAAGAACTCTATTTATCGAAGCTGTCACTTCCAGGATAGTGGTTAGAGCCCCGACCGCGTCATACCAACAGATGTTAAAATATGGTACTTGTTGGTCCCTGCCTGGCGCTCGGCATTAATGGGTACAACAAGGACTGGTCGGCTCGGAGTCAGTATAATGTGTCTGAGTGGGGTATTCATGCTTCACTGCGGCATGGTATCTGAGTGGGCTAGCACTATAAAACCAGCTTCAGTCTGGGCTAGTACAAGCAGTACATACACATGCACACGCATGCACGTCGTCATATGAGCGAAATATTCTCAAGCACGATGTTAAACCCAATTCCACCACCACCACCACATCCAGGAAGACAGGCCTTAAATAGATTTTGAAACTTCCTGGCATGCTAGAGGCGGTTGGGTAGCCTAGTGTCTAAAGCGTTAGCTCCACATGGGTACAATGTGTGTAGCCAGTTTCTGGCGTCCCCAGCCGTCATATTGCTGCAATATATTGCTGCAATAGCTAAAAGCGGCGTACAACTAACCTCACTCACTCACTCCTGGCATGCTATGGTTACTTTGCTCACTGACAATCATATTTGTTATATCATTGTTGTACTCATTCTCTTCCCACAGAGGTTACTCCTGTCATATCTTCCTACGTAACCTCTGTTCTAATACGGCCCTTTCATGGTGTGAGCGTTCAAGACTCGTGATTGGAGGGAATCAGATTTAGTTGTGCAATCAGCGACGTTGTTTCAAAAGTGATCATTCTCAAGGCCTCGGTAATTTCCGTATGCTTCGAGAAAACTGAACTTCTTCCCCTGCGCGATGCGCAAACGTTTCTTCTAGACAGAACTCAGTCATGTTATGGCGGATCAGTGGCGTCTCCATCACCCTCGTTGACAACGGACAAGCTATCCATTATTCGTCTTGTGTGTAACATCAGCACAAGTCCCCGGCAGATGGGGGATATTTATGGCCCCATATTTGCTTGTGTTAGTCAAGTTGAATCTAAGTCGATGTAACACGTGTTCTGATTGGATAGAAAGAAGGGAGATAATTCGTGTTGCTATCTTTTGCCGCTAGGGGATTTTACGAGAACCCGGAAATATGGCCGTATTAGAACAGAGGTTCGTAGGAAGATATGACAAGTAACCTCTGTGGGAAGAGAATGTGTTGTACTATAGAATTCATATCTTATATGTCTCAGCTAAAGTACTAAATCAGCTAAAATAGAAATACAGTGGTTTGGGGCGTTCGTTTGTTTAATTCTTAATTTATAAGTAGTTTTAACAAATATTAAAATATCTTTGTTTTTCGCAACAAGACCTTGTAATTTGGTCCTCTAATCATCATCCAGAATACCATTTTACTGGTAAAAATAACAAAAACTTGCAAATTATCAAAACATTTAGAAACATGGTATAACTTACGTCCCAAACAACAACGGGTGGTGACTACCTGCACACCCCACCTGCAACTATCTACCGTAGGTTGCACATTTTGACTTTGATGAAATTTCAAGGGCTAAAAATGTCATAGAATATTTAACAATCAAACTTTAGTTGTGTTCAAAAATACGAAATAAACGCCAAACATCATTTTATGTCTATTTCCGTGAGTACTTTAGGATCAACCGCCTCCCAGCGTTCAGTCGATCCAAGCACCAGGGCGATTCGCCATTGGTTGTTTAGTCTACCGTGAGTCGGCGTGGCGGCTACACGTGCTGCACGAGCTGCACGCGGTTGAAACGTGACATGACATGTGAAATTACGCAATTGACGCTGATGTAATGGGAAATTTAAGCCAAAGAACTTGAAAATTTATGCCTCTGACAATCACATCCGCTTGCGCTTGTGAAACCTTTAAATCCACATTGATCATACCGTAACTGAACGCCTGTTTGCTGTCACAAAACGCCAGTAAAAACAGGAAACGCTAAGGTATCACTCCATTTGAACATATTTTATTGACATTTCATAATGGAGCAGGAAAAGGCATATCGGATCCTTTCCAGAAAAACACCAGTGAAGATCCGGTTTAGAATTGGCCTTCAGCAGCACATGCTTGGTATATTGCAGGAATATTGCCGGCGTTAAACAACAAACAAACATCATCATCATCATCATCATCATCATCATCATCATCATCATCATCATCACACTAGAACATGTGATTACTATTGGAACCTGAACACACTGAGGATATGCATAATTAATAATATCAATCAATTCACCAAAGTAATCGAATATTTGGCTGGCAGTAATATATTTATGGGCATGTTCTAAACTTATCTTCATTTGCGCTAAGTAAAAGCTTACATCACCATACGAAGTTCTTCGATTTTAAAGCTTTCGGTAATGCTTACGGTGCAAACATTTAATTGTTAGGGGGAGACGGTTCGTTATTTATATGTATTAAAACAAAACAATCCATCCGCTAAAATCTAAAACTAATGTATAAATTAATTAAATTGCTGTTCCCTAAGGTATGTAATGAAGATAACAATTCAGAATATCGGGAATCAAACCCGATATTAAATTTGAATGTCATGACGTGTTCATAACCTGATATTTTAATGAGAACCACTAGTTTTTCACTCACTCACTCACTCACACAAATGGTCGTAAAACCTGACAAAGCCAGATTATGTTCACTTAAGTGTGTGTTTATTCGTCGTATTGTTCATACACGCCACAGTAAGTAATTCACAAACAAGTGATTGATATCATCAACAAATTCCCTCGCCGTGAGGTTACGGTGACACGCGAATGAATAGTAGAATGGTAAGAGTGTGTGTGCGTGTGCGCGCGTTCGAGTGTGTACCTGATTGTGTGTGCGTGCACCTGCGTATGTGCGTGTATGTATGCGTGCGTGTGCGTGCGTGCGTATGTGTGCGTGCGTGTGTGTTTATTGTTGGTGGCAAGTCCAAAGTTAGGCAGGTTTTAAACGGATTGTGGCGTTGAATGACCATAGCTGGCTGTGTTAGCTGTCAGAGTGGCTGCGGTATAACTGCTGATGCGATTTTAAACGGCTCACTGAGGTAGTTTCCGGGGTTTTTCTCCGTAAAGAGACTTCCCGAATAGTAGAGGAATAGGCATGCCTGAATCTCCTCCCAGCCAGGAAGTACAGGTAGAAGTTAACGGCGTGGCTGCTGTCGGCGACGTTGGTGGTCAGGACGTCGAGGAAATATTTTCTCGCTTCACCTATAGAACAACTAGATGGATTCCAGTACGCATATGCGGCCGTGAACGCACATCTTGGAAACGACAGAACTACAAACACTGCCGCAACAATTACCAACATCGTTGTGATCTGTGCATCCAGTCTTCTTGTGGCAACAGTGGTCGAGTGGTTCTCTGACAGAGTTCGTCGTCTGTTGGCCGACCTCCTGACGTAGACGATGATGAGGATGTTGCAGATGAAGAGGCAGGAAGCCGGCAGGATGGCGTACACGAAGGACCCGACATAGAACCAGGCCTTAAAGGATGGACCTTCTAATGTCAGCGTGCATGTGTATCCTTCGTAGTGAATGACAGTCCACAACAGATGCAGGTGGATCAGACACAGAAACACAAACACACAAGAAATAATCACCAGACCTTTCCCCACGGTCCACATGACCGCCATCTTGAACGGGTACCTCACCGCCAGGAATCTCTCTATTGCCAGGGTAGTAAGTATCCAGTTGGCGTAGGTGGAGAAGACAAGTCCCAAGAAGAACAATCCTCGGCAACTTCTGTCGTCCATGGCAAATCTCCTGATCTGGGACTGGTTCTCCACCAGCTTCAGTGCAATTGCGACGTTGTCCACCATTGCCAGCAAACCGACGTAGAACAACGACGTTGTCAGACGTCGCTGGCACATCCTGGTGACCACAATAACGCTGATGATGTTGCCAGGGAAACCAAAGGCGAATACCAACCAAATGTAGAAACGTCTAATCACGGAGGCAGCTGTTACAAGATTGTCGTACTCGCCAGAAGTTGCGTTGTCTGGACAGGCGGAGACATTGTCCCATACATCCGAGACATTATATTCTAAGTCCAT